GATGTTAGTGATGCTGTTGGAAAGGGGCAGATGCTGAGGAAAGGCTGTTATCTGTTGGACCTGAGAGCACTGCCAGCTAAAAGGCTAATTTACAGGACCTGGAAAAAAGAAAGATGAGATCCTAATCAAAGATAAGGAACAACTTAAGTACTATGTTCATATGAACTCACACGGAAGGAGAGCAGGAGAGAATTAGTATTTGCAGAGATTAAGGAGCTTTAAATGTATGTCTGTTTTAAAATAGTAGCAGGGGCAGTAAGGATTGGGACAGGGAGGGGGTTACTGGAAGGGGGATGACGTGCTCAATATGCCTCACCAGGGTGGATGGGGGAGGCACAAGAGCAGCCGAGGGTCTCCAGTGTCCCACCACAGACATACACGTGCCTGTTGCAGGAAAGCTCTCCAAACCTGCCCAAGGCAGCTCACCTCTGCAGAGCTGAGCTCAGTGCATCATATGGGCTGGCATGGACTTCTGGCACTATGCATGTTCAATGCCATCCTGCCTGCACGGGCTACCAGCAGAGCCCACCGCCTCATGCAGAGACACCTTTGCACCAAGCCAAGAGATGTTGCTTTAGAGAGGACACTCAGTCCCAGCAGCTGGAGCCTAGACACATTACTCCATGGCAAATGACCATCATCAAGAAAAAAACTGCTCTTCCTTTCTAGACTGCCTTCGGTCTAACTCCACTGCCTCCTTACAGGTCCCTCCCTCCCTCCCAGGGCAGAGCTCTATTTATCACCACGTGTCTCTCTGCACACAGGTATTTACAGATGGTGGCTGTGGTGCCTCTTGGGCTCTTTCTAGGTGAACAAAATTATTCTCTCAGTAGGAGACGCTTTTCCAAAATTATGTATCAAACTTGCAGCAATTTCCAGCGCATTTGTTGCCTGCCTCCAGCCTCTCTGGCACATGGGAGCCTGGCCTGGAGAGTGGGAGCCTGGCCTGGAGAGCACCCAGGATGTGCTCCCACCATCCCACCATCCCACCATCCCTGTGGTCCTACTCCCTGCTTCCCACAGGGGTCCACTGGCTCTGGGGCCAACTGGGGATGCACCAGGTGATGGTGGCTTGTGGGCTCTGCTACTTATGGTCTTTCAGTCCCCAGTAGCATCTCTGGTTGTGCCTCCTGGTACAAAACAGGAGTAGCCGGCTGCCCTCTCCACAGTGGCAAAACCATCGTGTGCTGTTTGCTTCCCTGAAAACAGCAAGTGCCCTTCTGCATGCTCACCCCTCGCTCCTGCTGCCACAACAGCCAGCTCGGCTGGCATTATCCCGCCCGGCAAGGGGACATCGGAGGTGCACGGCTGTGCTGCTGCCAAACAGCACCCACCAGGGCCTGAAACATTAAACCCAGCAAAGCCAGGAAAACAGAGTCAGAAATTACTGCTCCTCAGCCTTGGCAGAGAGGCAGAGCTGCAGCTCCACTCTGATCCTCACTTTTCTCCCTTTGCTCATGCCCAGCCCTTTTCTCTCCACAGCAATAGCGTGACTCTCACACACATTTTGGTTTGACATAGCAAAGCAGCAGCCATGGCCTCACCTTGACACTGCTCGTTCAGTGATGGCAGCGCAGCGCTGATCCCCCGGCTGGGAGCTCCAGGCTGAGGGGAAACACCTTCCACCCTCCGTGAAGGGGGAAGCGCTTCTCAAAGCAGCAGCACAGGCACCAGGCAGAAACACTCCCTGTGAATCCCCCACTGACCTATTTCCAGACAAAAATCCACCTCACCTCTCTCTTTCCCGCTCTCCGGAAACACAGAATGATTTTAGTTTACAAAAGGGCTAAATCCCTGCCAAATTTCACATTAAAACAGTGCTTTGGCTACAGATGAGCGTTAAAGAAAGCAAACAAGCAGCCTCTCCCCTGGCCCAGCTGCCCTCTGTGGCATGGGAACCCCCAGACCTTATCCTCTGATTGACTCGGGGCTGTCCCAGCAGCCTACATCGCACACACCGTGGTGCCATCTTCAAACTGGGGGGCACCGAGGACCACCTTGGGCTTCCTGTATGCAGGAGAAGTGTGGCTGGGCAGGTGAACACCCCCACCAAAAGCACGCGGGTGATATGAAGCCAGGCTTGGTGCTTGGAAGTGAACATGAGCAGGCAGCTATTTCCAGCCCCAGCACTGCCCCCCGACACGCAGCACCCCCCGACGTGTCCTGCTTTTGTACCTCTCGTCATCACTGGCACAAGGTGAGGGAAACTGTGGTGCATG